TCCCGTTCTAAGTCATATTGTAATAAATATCTTTTCAAGTGACCCCGCTTATTAAAATAGTATTGACCATATATTTTTTTTTATATTTTTAGATTCAGTTACTTCTTTCCTTTTTTAAAATTTTACTAACACCCTAACCCGCCCTTGAATAAACCCGTTGGGGCCCGATGCTAAAATCTTGGTAAAAGATGCTGGAAGTGATGTATGATTATAGTGTAGAAGATTTTTTGCCTCGTAATAAACCCTTTCTAACTGACCCCATTTCTTGAAATATTATTAAGAATATTTAGTAATTAAAACAAATCATACACGCATTTCATATAGCCATAAAATCATATACTTTATATTTATATTAAAAATTAATATTTTTAGTTGGACCTTTCCAAATCATCCGGTTCCAATTCGTCGGGGCCATATGTCAAAAAACTTCGTAAATGATGTAGGAAGTAGTCTAACATTATGGTGTAGGAGATCTTTTGCGTTGTACTTAAACTTTTCCTAACTGACCACGTTTACTGAAATATTATTGAGAATATTTAATAATTTTATTAAATCACACAAGCAATTTATATGTCCACAAAAATCATACATTTTATAATTGTGTTAAACATTATGTATTTTCAATTTGCCCCTTCCAATTTATCTTGTAATAAATCTTTCCCAAATAAACCTTGTTTATTGAATTACTATTGAGTATATCTTTTATTATTTTTTTAGTTGAAACTTTCCAAATAATCTCGCTCCAATTCATCTTATAATAAATTATTCCTGAGTGACCTCGTGTATTGAAATACTATTGAGCATATTTTGTAATTAAAACAAATAATACATGCATTTGATATGACCATAAAACTACATACATTTTATATTTGTGGACCTTTCTAAATGATCTTATTCCAATTCGTCTTGTAATAAACTATTCCTAAGTGATCCCATTTATTGAATTATTATTGAGTATATATAGTAATTTAAACAAATCATACATTCTTTTTATATAATCATTAAAAATCATACATTTTATTTTGTGTCAAAAATTATTTATTTTCAGTTAGATATTTCCAAATGATCCGTTGTTCATTTTATGCCATTGGAATATACTTAACAAACAAAAGAAAAACCAATAACAGAATTTATAACTTAGATAATCACTCACGCATAAATGTAGAAATGTCACAATTTTATCAATAGCAATCAATCTCCCTATTTAAACATGAAACATATCTCTGTAAGGAGAAACAACAGAGAAATCAAAAGTAAAATTAGATTACACTTTTGGCTCTAGATTTAGAATACCGATATCAAATTGTATTAAGGAAAAACTTTTTGTTTTGACAAAATATAAGACAAATTTATGCCTTCAATCAAAATCAACACCAGTTCGGTATATAACTTCAAGTCATGGCAAAAATTATTAGAAGTAGAGCTCTGAAAGCCCCATTAAACAAAACATGATGTCCAAAGTCACCAGAGCCAGAAGTGGAGATATGATAAACAATTAAACATCTCCTCAAGCAAAGTCCTCAAAGACAAGTCTTAGTGTTGCACTACAAAGCTCATTTTTATGGATCATCCGTGCAGAGGGTGGGTTTCTGAGGTTTGCCGTCGACCCATTTGGAGGCAGAGCTTCTCCTGGGTCAAAGCCTCGGACCTGCAGGGTTCCTTGAGGCAATTACTCATCTGATTAGTGTGCAAGTTTGAGTAAGTGACATATGTCATCTCGGCACTGATCTCCAAAACGGCACCGATGTGTTTGACGCCATTGCTATTTTTTTTTTGGTTGTTACAAAAAGGGAGGCGTGTAACGCCATATTGTGAACTAGTGCTCCTACTACATCATGTGCTATCCACGGTTTGACCACTGAAGAAGGTGTAATAAATTCTCAATATCCCCATCGCTATCTTTTTTTATTTGTTGTCACTCACTAACTTTCACTGTATTATATTTAGGAAAAACTAAAGTAATAATCATGTATTTAATAATATGTATAATATGTAGAGATTTGAAAATCACTCACCTTGTGTCTATGAGAAATTTTTTGAGCAACTTGATCTGCTCTCATGATTGTTCAAGACGGCTGCAATCACAAAAATGAATAGATTCGAGATGCATGCAGCCAAACCGTTCAAGAAAGTTCTTTTTCCTTGGCTTGGAGGCTGTTTATGAAAAAAAAAAAAATTATTTATCAAACTATGAATGCAAAAGGAGAAGACATCTAATATAATAATTCTAAAATCATATTTAAATGTAATCGTACAGGCAAAAGTAGTCCACCAATTACAACATGTGCTTCCTTGATTATTTTTTTAGTGTTGCAAGAAACTTGAAAACCTTAACACTAAATACAAAACAGCAAGAACAAAATTGATCATTGCACCACAACTTTGTAAAACAAAAACGGATTGATAAACTTAAATTATCAATTTGATTTCACAGTGTAACTAACCATAAAATCACCCAAAGGTTCATGACCTTAAATGAAGCAAATCATTAGGAACGAAAAGCTACAAATCCAGGAATCAATATTGCTGAATCAATTAAACTTTATCTTGTCAGCAGGCCGAAAAATCCAAAATTGATGACCAAAACCAAAATCGTAAAACATAATTGGGTTATCACTGAATAGAAAGATCATGATCAAATTTGTCTCATAAAAAGTTTATTACTCAAGAGCAATAAACAAAAACCAAATCAGTGGGCAAAATCGAAACATGAAGTTGAATGATCTTATTCATGATAATCAAATTACTAAACAATAAAAAATTGTAGATCTGGAAAATATCACAAATCACCCACAGCCTAGGAAACCAAATGGATAGCCAAAATGCCAAAAAACTGAAAAATAAATAAATAAAAACGCACATAATACGAATTTTAATCCTAGCGACAAAAGTATTCACACGGTGATCAACTTGAACGTGTAACCTCAAACCAAAAAAAAGAAAAAAAAATGTTTCGAGAATATATGACAATGAATCTATATGTAAATGGTTGCTTATTTATATTTTCGCAAATTGTTCTTAGCATTTGCATGTCTAAAAAATCAATTCCACAATTAGAATGGCATGCGATAATATTTGTGCATTTTTCTTCAACTTATACTTTTTTACTCTAAAAGTCAAAAAATAGCACTGAGCGAGAGATTTTAACACAGTACTTCAAAACAGAGAATTAATATACTCCCTCTGTCCCAAAATTATTATCCACTTTGAATTTTCATTTTTACTACAATTTGAACCAGAAATGAAAATCCAAATTGGACAATAATTATGGGACGGAAGGAGTACTAATCATGTAGGGATTTTTTTTTTTTTTTAGAAAAAGGAAAATAAATCATCGGAAAAGCCCTACTCATTCAGAATAAATCTTTTCTGCTTGGTAGGGAGTAGAAAAAACTGTGTATCTACAAAAATTAGATTATTAACTCTATTACACAGCATAATGTGTTGAAAATGGAAGCCTGACGACAGAGAAGCTTGATCCACCTATATATAATTCGCATGTCTCCATTTAACTAAAACCCAAAATTAACCTGTTATCTCATTCAAAACACCATTTGTTGCAATCGATACCTGAAAGCTGAAGCAAAGCTAATTGAATCGAAGGATAATACTCCCCCAATCCTAATCAATGGAGCAATATGATAACAGAATCTTGTGTTGGTGTTCCAGCCATATCCGGGGCATAGAAACCATTTCGATTTTTCTCGTGAGGGGAGATTAAGCTTCTTCACATGAAAGAGATAGTCTCGAAATTATTGTCCAATTTTAAGATTTCACTTTCAATACAAATTGAACTACAAATGAAAACCCAAAGACGGAAGGAGTATTATTTATAATTACATGAACATTAATTAGGGTTTTGGATTTTCCAGCGTTTCTTAATCTTACTCAATCGAAGTAATCAGAAGTGGCTCAAGAAATCCAACACGAGCTAATTTTTTCCTACATACATCTAGGACCACAAGTGACTCGTAATTACCTTAGATCAAGACACCGCAATCCCTTTCCTTGCACTTCTATCGCCGCCGCCGCCACCTCCTCAATCATGTCCAGCAAAAAAATTTCCTTTGTGTGTGAGGTTTTGGGTGAGGACTGCAGGACTATTAACCGTCTACGTATTAGGGTTCCGGTGATTAGTAGGGTTTCAGTGAATTAGCCACCTCTCAGTTAGACCGCCAAAACTCTATATATGTATTTTCCATATATGTATTGTTGTTATAAATTTAAAATCCTTTTATTAATGGAAACGCGTGATAAAGAAAATCAATTGGGCGGGAATGTGTTTCTTATACGTAAGTAACAAAGTTACCATTGATAAAAAGATAAATTTATATCAACAACTAGACAAAATAATTTTTACTGTTTAATGTTAAGCGACACGTGTTCAATGATCAACTCTCCTTTAATATATAGATAGATTACTACTGTTTAATTCTGAAAGTTTAACGATATCCCTTGTTCAAGAACTGAATAATGATTGAACTAATTTTATTGCTTAAATCTTGTACTACAACTAAAACAACTCTTAATTTTGTAAGAGATCCGTTTACTTATTTTGTTATCGAAGGTACGTTAAATGTTGATGTGTTATTAAAACCTGCTTCGACTCATGGCCAAAATTTTTGCCATTTCCCAAAACACAATGTAAAAGACTAATAAAAGAGTGAGCTTTTCCCAAGTGTAAAACAGTGAACTTTTCACTTCACAGCAGCATGTAAATTCCCATTTTTACATCTCAACCTCGTTACAGGTTATTACTCATTTCAGGAGAGTACCCCCAAAAAAATTTTCTGATATGCTCTTACGCCGAACTCAAGTACGAACTCTCTACTGAACCAAAAACACAAATCTTTCCGCTTGGAACTCTGCTCAAAACCTCTTAAGTCTCTTAACCCAATGAGCGAGCTACCTACCACATATCATCGATGACTGTCATTCTTGTAAGTTGCAATGCGTAGATGGTGGAATTTGGGAGCAACTGCCGGTCTGGATGTAGATTTTCAATCATCCTTTTCATCGTTCTCGTCTGTCTCGTCATCGTAACTGAAAGGAAGTGGGACTGATTTGAATGCTCTGTACTTGCCAACATTGTTCAGATGTTCATTTTCCAACCTGAGAACAAAATAGCAACGGAATTCATACAGATAAATGTTGCACGTATTTAAGCATGGAAGCACAACGCTACTGATCTTTGTTCCATCAACTGGAACTAGCGTTAAGAGTTTCTGCTCAAGGAAGAAAATCCCTTGCAGCTTAATTGGCCGCTGTCCTGGTTGAAGCCAAGCAGGTTACTGATTCAGAGATAAGGGTAGCTTGAAAGTGACCCTTTGATACATATCTGAAATAAAGATCGACTGATTACCTGAAGAAGTTCCACATACCACGACGAATGATTTCTAAGCAAGCAAATGTGGCTGCAATCGTAGTTCCTCGTAGGGAGTGCAAATTCATCGGAAATAGCAGCTCCACCCAAGCGAATCTCAGAAGAACATCCAATACCTGGAAGAGAATTGACCACAAAATGCTGTTGACTAGTTGAATGACAAAGAAAATCAGATGGCTTTGCTAGCAGAAAAAGACCTTTAGATTACCATAGCTGCAAAATAAACACTCTTGTGGGTAATCACAAGCTTATCTCTCAAAAACAAGTTCTTTGATTTTCGTTGAAGTAGCCCCCAGTCCATTACAATGTCCCAATACGTATTCATCATGGTTGCTATTGGCCAGCTCACTACGGCCAATATTTTCCAGCTCAGTTTCTTTCTCAGTTCAAAGGCTGTTCTCATGACAACTGCTATGATTGTTGAGAAGTATCTCAAACCATTAATTGCATGTATGAAGTCTCTCTCTCCACAAAGTCGGCGAACACACTGCATCATTACACAAAAACCATCTGTTACTTAATAGTCTTGTACAATAGATGAAAACAGATTTGCTGTCGGCAGGAAAATACATCTGGTGTCAAGTCACACAAACAGTTGGCTCAGGTCAGAAATAAGCACCAAAGGAGATAAACCACCATACTTGGATCTTTAAATATCTGCAAGTAATGGTGCAGGAAAAAATAGACCTGAAGGAACCGTAGCCAATATGGTATCACTGCAACAATGAAATAGAAAACTGTGTAGGCGTTGCGAATATCACACTTCTTTTGTCTTTGAGATTTTCCATACGTATAGTAACATATGTAATATTCGAAGCTTCTTATGGCTTGTATCTGCATTTGGACAGGATGATAAGATAGAGGAATGACAAGGAAATAAAAGATGGAAACAATCCCCAATACATGATTAAACCTGGCTAGTAAGCTGGTCCCCCACAAAAAAATCTGGGAGCGTAACCTGCAAAAATGTGACTCCATTAAAATATCCAGACAGATTTGACATATCTGTATCCTGAAAGTTACTTGAAACGGAAACCTTCTGGTCTATATACCTCGTACAGAGGAGCACAGATGCACCGAAAGACACTTTTAATTAGGAATAAACGACTTGAACGATATATGATGTTGAAAGGGCTGAACATAATGAGGAGGACAACCTACATCACAAATAACCAAAATAAAGGTATTGATCTAGCAGAAAACTATTCAAAATATCAAGAAATTGCATCTCACAGAGATCAGGCCTAGTGGGATGTATTCCGCATATTTATTCTGAACTTGAGCTCCTGAATCCAGCCTCATATGCAAATGCACGACCAAAGTGGCAAGAGAAAGCATCGACAATCCACTACCAAGGAGAAATACTTCCCGGTAACCTAATTCAGTTCCTTGTTTAAAACCAAATATAAAAGGGTAGTTGATCCTGTAGCGTTTCCAGAAATATATATTTGCAGCATACAGGAGCACGTGAAGAATAATATAGATGTAAAAACTGCAAAAAGGATGTGAAAATAAGCATAAAGCTGCATCTTTATGACCATAAGTAAAGTAGTAAAAATACCAGTTCCAATTTCAGAAAAATAAGTTAAGATGGACTTTTCCATTACCTGTAAAGTGGAAAAATATTGGTTATATACAGGCTGCCTTCCTTTTTATCTACTAACTTTTTGGCTTCTATAAGGAAGATAACAGCAATCACCAGAGCAATTGTGAAACCAGTAAAGAAGCCTGGAAATTTTAAAACCAATTAGAAGCTTTGCAAAGCCTATACAGTTATCCAATAACAGAAGCATGCTTTCAATTTTATGAAATTTGATGCAACCTATCTTATCATAAACATTTTCACCTGAAAAGAATGTTATGCGATGCTTTTCTGTTTTGCGTTTTGGCCTCAGGAATTTCATACCCTTTCGGCGATTTAAACTGGCAAAATGTTTAATAAAGGTTGCCTCCACCCTGTCCAAGAGATTATTTACCTAAGACAGCATAGAGTGAGAACTGAAACAGTAAAGTATACTTATCAGTGAATGTAACGGGAAAATACCAACGAGCAAGCCCCTATTGGGGAACTGTGAACACAAGATTTAGTTAAACCAGCACAAGTTTGGTAAAACATTTTTCATAAAGAAAAGCTAATGCTGCCATTATATTCACTCCACCTGCTATCATTCTTATACAACGAATAACTTATGAATAACTAATCATGTTCATATCTACGTTAAACTTCAGCGTTCAATCCTACTGATTATTTTCGATATCTAAGTCAGACTTCACTGTTATAACTTACTAGGCCAATTATGTAATCAGCAATCATCTATGACATAGAAGTGAAACCTTAACCAGATAGTATAAAATAAAGCCTACGTCATCTCGCCTACATATCCCTTTTCAATGCACAGGAGTAGGACACATTTATAAACTTTTCTAGACGACACATATGGTGTAGCTCTTATGTCTCTGAAATTTAAAATCCTACCTAGACTCATGAAGCAGGTACAGGAAGCACATTTGAACTGAGATAACATCATACTGCAACCTATTCGAACAGTCCTTATTTCAAAGTATGAGAGACAAAAAAGGCTCGTCCACATTAAGAGTATCTTGCGCTTTTCACATCATACTTATAAAATTTGATACCTTAGAGGATTTGTCTAAACAATGCAACCAAAACCTAAAGCCGCAACGCGGTTAGGATGGAAACTAGTATACGAAAACATACTTCATCAGAGCTTCCGAGGTACGAATTGTCTACAGTTCTCATATATGACCTTGCTGCACCCCTTGATGTGACCTGCATATTTTCAGAGCTTTGAGAAATTGGCCATCTTTCAAAAAACCAGTGACTTTGAAGAAGAACTTTTAGATTCCAGACTCCCATCCTAAAGAACATACTAAAAATACCAGACAAAACTTTTGTCTACCTTCTCATACTTCTTTAATATCTTGGAAAATGCTGAGAGGTTCATGAAACTGTTTGATCATTCACAGAATGCTCAGCAAATGATAGCAAGTGAAATGGATAGGATAATCAAAATTCCAGAAGATAGGATTATGTGAATTCTTTCAGCTGTCACCTGAAGTTTTTGAGAAGTTGAAGCTTCCGATAAAACTCAGAGAATATAATTTTCAGCCTTTCCTCTACTTCTTTTAGCTCATCCTTATTAAAACTCAAATCCTTCACTTTCTCATCCAGCAACACACCTTTAATGGTTGACATTGGAGTTTCAAATGTATTTGTAATTTTTACTCTATCAAGTATTTCTAGAGAAGAATGTTGATCTTCTCTCATATGTTCCTTCCCTCTCGAAGAACAGCCTCCCACTCCATCATTGTTTGACGGTTGTAGTTCCACTTCGGATGCTGAAATGTTTCTCTCCGACTCTGGACATTTTGCAACATCAATTTGAAGAACAAAAAAGGAAAACTCTGTCTCATGAATCCCAATAAAAAAAAAAAAAGTTAATTTACGGAAACATATAGTACACTAATAGTTTATCCTTTTTACCTGCATTCCCAGTTTCACCTGGAGAGCTAACCTTAGAACTTGCAGAATCATTTGTGTTCACGGGGAGATGCTTTGGAGAGCTCGAAACATGCTTATATGCATCCATCACTTTAATACGCAAAGCAATGAGAGCATCCATCTGTTTGTTCAAGGAAGCGGCTTCTTTTGTGACTTCCTCCACCTTCTCCTTGTAGAAAGAATTCACCTTGTTGAGCTCATCATCAAGTTTCTTGAAGAAACTGATCTCACTTTCTCCCCCTCCTTCTCCAGGGGACACAAGCACTTCCGTATTGTACAACCTCCCAGAATTCTGCTGTGGCACGGTAGTAACATTGATCACTTGGTTCTCCAAATCCCCTGAGCCTCCATTACAACTCGCTTGTCGATTAAGACCACTGAAGGCTCTCTGATAAACAGGTCTGGAGGGAGTTCCGGGTTGATTACTTAGTCTCAATCGACGGATCTCTAGCAGTATGTGTTTAAGTCCACTGTAATCCACATAGGCCTCAGTCCATTCAGGTACCTTTTGTTTCTTAAAAACCTTTCCAAACTTCATCTCAGCCCTAATTTCCTATGCCTACTCTCTCCAATTATTTCCTGTATTTTATATTCAACAATTCAATTAGATTGCATAACACTAGAGGCTAAATTACAGGAGTACAAGAACGCATTGTGCACAACTCTTGGAGGTAAGAATCGATACTTCTTACTACTGCCATTGAAATCTCATGAAAAGGTTGGAATAACAAACACTTAGCGATCATATAAATGCACCAGAGCGAAAACAAAAAAAATAAAAAATGTGTGGATAAAAACGAAGAAATAATGAGCAACAGAGAATTTCATGCATCATCGTGTCTAGGGAGAAGAAGATATGGATGTCCTGTTTTTTCCTCCAGAATAATCAAGAAAACACGCCGCCGCGGCGCCGCCGCAATATGCGGAAACCGCAGGTGCATAGTAGTGTGTGAGTGCGTGTAAATCCGTTAACGAAGTTTGATTAAGACGAACATACCGCCTGGAGTTAGTGACGTTTATCTGAGAATTGAAAGAATGCATGAGAGAATGGTGAGGAGTTTTACCTGAAATCGGAAATTGGTTGAATTGTTTCAGCTGATTGGTTGATTTTATACTGCGAGATGGGGGCAGCCTTTCGGGAAACGAGGCCGATATGCTTCAGAAATGCTATATAAGACAGAGGCTTTTTACACGTGTTCTGTTCTTGCATGTTTTTTCACCCCTGCGTTGATGATGGTGATGATGATTCCAGCTTAAATTGGTCTGTGCATGGCAGCCGCATTTTGACACGTCCATCTTCCCTCCCTCAAATAACTCCATTTCTTTTCTTTAATAATAGATATCATTCACCTGAAAATAAGATTTAGGAGATGGTTGTTGACTTTTGTAACTACGTACTAAAATTGGAACAGAAAAGGAGGCCAAGGAAGAAATTAGTCTCCTGATGATCAAACACAACATTCGTGACATGCCTCTGTGTCCCTCAAAAGTAATGAAATTGATAATGGAGTTCAAATCCCTTCATTGAAAATAGTTTGGAAGCCATGAACATTAATGACAGTAAATCATTCGGAAGATGCACTTAATGAAACCATGATCCTTTCTTTTGTTTCATGGTTCAGAATTCAGGAGCAGCGGCAGTTTTTACGGCCATCATTTTGTCGAGTATGCTTAAGACGGTGTACTCAATTGCCAATGCATGATTGCTCAAATGTCTACAGAGTACAAACTATCAACTTCAGCAAGAGATTTCAGTCGTTGTGGTTATTACATAAGCGATAAAATCTAATTTGAACGATAATAAGAGAAGCAGATAATTCTATTACTATCGATGCCATACACTAAAGGCAATGCTTCACATGGGTACGAATCGTGATAAAAGCGTGCAGCGAGAGACTCTGAGCAGGTCCAGGTTCCAGTTTGGCCATTAATTTGATATGTTTCCCTAGATGGAGATTATGAAGGTTGACAGTCCTTTTCATGCTTCAGAAACCTAGACATGCTACCAATAAACTTCTCAGTCAATCTTCTTCACCGGGATTTGGCTTAATGCCGCTGCAACAAAAGAAATGTGGCAGCTTGACTCGACCACATGCCCTGCAGAGGTGCAAAGGTTAAGCAAAGTCAAAAAAAGACACAAGATTTCAGATGTTTGCACGATCTGCAAATTCAAGTTTCTCAAATTCATGAACTCCAGTGTAACGCAATAAGTGCAATTGAAGGGAGAGTTTCTTATTCATTGTGATCAATACTGACAATAGGACTAGGTATAATATTGTACCAAGGCACTAATCAAACAAATTAGAAGAGGGTTCGTTTGAAAAATGTGGAAAAGAAGCACCTAGCGCATATACTTCCAACTTATATAAGTTTTGAATCAATCCAACAGTTAAAGTGACAAAAGCCTCACACCAAATGCTGGAACTAATCCATATAGACTGCCTAAAAGCAGTTTAGTTTACGTCATAACAATAAGTTGAAATAAAAGCTTCTCATTCTTTTGTAGGCAGAAAATGTACTCTTTTCCTGTTAAGTACATAGAGACCTGATATCTTAAAGGTTATGAAGAAAGTTCCACTAACTTTTACAACTTGACAAATAAGTTTCATCATCAACTACAGAAATATTTCTCAATCAATCAAAGCAGCAGTCTGAATGATGCAAAACATAGATAAACAGGACATTAGCTCCAACCTTAGAACAATAAACATAGGTGTGATTTTAATATGATAATTCTGCTGAACACAAGAAGAGCCAGAAACTTGAAACTGATTTGGATATCATAAACTACAATATCAAGATACAAGTAATGGAGTTATTTATATATAGAAATGAGATTCCATGTAGAAAGCTCTTACCTGCAACGGATGATTACTGGCACAGGTTTCAGAGCCTTAGGTCCATTCCTTATGCCTCTCTTGTGACGAGAAACCTGCATAATGAAGCAGATGACAATCAAGCTTCAATCTATCCAACCAGAAAAACTGAGTCTAGCAACTACATCTACCCGACAATACAAAGTAGTAACTATTTTAATCCTTTAGCAATTTGATCCATGATTTTAGCATTGAACTCCTTTTACCCATATTGGTTGGATCAATAACTGATTACTTTTGAAGATGGCACCGGTTAAAATGAAGAGAAAAACGGTTCCTCCGATAACAGGGACAACAATATCAGAGTTTGTCTAATCCGCCAACACTAAACCGCCGTTCATGAATACGTTTTCAAGCTAAATTTGGGCCCTTAACCAAAAAAAAAAAAAAAAAGATTTGTGAAATCCAATTGAGCAGACACGATGAACTCTCAACAACCATTAACACCGAATTAAACTACTCAAACTCTTAAACCCCTAAAACCCCTCAAAGCATTTCTAAACAACAGAGCAGGTATTAAATCATCCAAGAGACAAAACTCCAAACAATCCACCACGAGAAAAGGCAAGATTTACCTTCTTTTTAGGAACAGCCATTAGCTCCATAGACCCTTGTATCAAAGAGAAGCTTGGTAAATGAAACCCGATGTAATTATCATAATTGGTCTCCGATTCCGGCAGCACCAACGGCGGCGTTGCAGAGCTACAGCCGTCCATAGAAGACTGCAACGGTGATGGTTGGGCCATTGTGTGAGCCCACCTCCGTAGGCCAAAGCTGCCGCTCGCCGCCGCATTCCTCAGCATCGCCACCCTCGAAGCCATCTTTCTCTATCTTTCGGTGTTCAATTCGGCCGGTGGATTTCCCCTTAATGTAAAAACGGGCTGCAGTACAAATTAAAATCAATCTGGGCTCTTTATTGGGCCATGCCTTTTAGCCCAATTATCAATTACCAACCGACGCCGTTTCCCTACCTCGGCCCTAATTCAGTAATTCGCTCCTCTCCAATTTCTTTCTATGGATTTCTTCTTCGTCAGAAAGCTGAAATTTTTCAGTCGCTAGTGAAGTGATCGAACCCCAAAGAAGAATTTTATCTGCTTTCTCTAGCTTCAGTCGCGTCTGATTTTCCCGCAAAGGTATCCTTTTTTCTTCATCATGCACTTCATTTAATCCATTTCAGTTCTTGTTGAATTATCGGGTTTTTGTTTTTTGCTTTTTTTTTTTTTTTTTTTTTTTGGAAATGCAAAGATTTATTTAGCGAAAAGAGCGTGTTCGCTTTTTTATATGTTTGATGAGAATAGGAGTTTTTCTTTTTGTATGATGGTTAGGTTTTGGATGCTTGTTTAACAATTTTTATCATCTGGGGGTGGAATGGTGGGGGATTGAATTCTCAGGTTAAGGAATTTGATTGGTCAAGGCTAAAGGGATGTCGTTCACGAAGGGAGATTTGCTTACGAAAACGAGGAAGCTGGTCAAAGGCTTAGCCAAACCAGAACCTCTCTGGCTTAAAGCTATGGAACAGTGAGTAAAGTGATGGTCTTTTGCTTTCTTTTGTTCTGTTTTCATTGTGGTTGTATTGATTTCTTTACTTTAATTTTAGAAGAATAACATGTCTTCTGTTAATTTGTGGAGTGATGAAACATCTATGGGAATTTGTGTTAAATTTTCAGCCTTTTGATTTTTGGGAATTAGGAAAAGTTTTCTTCATAATATGGTGGACTGCAATTTTCTGTGATGTGTTCTTCTATGAAGTTTGTCACTGTGTTGATTCCTTTCAGGTCCCCTCCACCAACATTTCCCCGAGCTGAGAGCAAGATTAAACCCATGACTCTACCAGAGGATGTTTATGTCAAGAAGTTCTTTAAGAAACACGAAGATTCAAAATATCATGACGCCATCAAGTATGTTGTTCCCCTTTGTTAAGCTCTTATTATGTGATTCCTGCATTTTTCTTCTTCTTCTTTTTTTTTTTTATTGGAATTTATTGGGATAAAGGCTTCGTTTTCTTAATTTTATGTTAGATTTTGGATGTGAGTATTTTGAATGGATGGTATATTTTGGGAGATGAACTTCCAGTCCAACTTTCTTTTGGTGATTCGGGTAAGGTGATGGTGATGCATAAAGCTGAAGTAACTAACCTCAGAAGGTTTAGTTTAGAGGTTGATGCTTTCTGTTTGAATTAATTAAGTTGGTCTTGCTCTTTGGATAATTGAGTGTATATTTGCTTTGCCAGATAATGGTTGCATTATGCTCCGTAGTTACCCAGTATCTGTTAAAAATGAGATGTGTCTATGGTTAAAGTTAGGGGTATACAATATTAACCCACGACATGATCTAGCTGTCATTCTAGGAAACTCTTATGACTTTCTGTTTGAATGAAAGGACAATTCATATAATGCAAATTACGCCTGCAAAGTTTGAAATTTATAACCCTTACAAAATCTGGACGATGATTGTTGAATGATTTTGTGCAACCAGTTATAAGTTTTTTGTCGTGTCTGAATATTTCCCTCTTTTTTTTCACAAGTTTTGGTCGTAGGATTATTCTAAACTTGCTAAATAGAAATTGACTGTTGCTTGTTATATCACAGAATATCTTCGTTTGATCCACCTCCTGCCCGTATATTTGGCTTGCGGGTAGTTGAGTTGAAGGAACAGGGTGTGGGCGAAGATGAAGCAATTGCTGTGGCTGATGTATGAACTCCTAGTCTTTGACTTTTTTTTAATTTTTATCTTCTTTCTTTTTGGGAGACTAGATCAGTTTTTTACCCATTCTCTCGTTGCCATGTTCATAAGACATTCAAATGTTTGTGCCACAGATGGAGTATAGAGCAGAGAAAAAAACCAAAAAGAAAGCTTATTCTCATCTGAAGAAAATTGCGAAACTTCAAGGAAAGGAACCACCTTCAAATCCATATCCGAGTGCTATCAAAGAAATTCAGGAAGAAGAAAAGGTGTTTGTACGCGACCGTTTCTTTGCTCCCGATATACTTAAAATTGTGGAAAAAATGAAGAAGGAAAGAGCTCTAACCATGTCAGCTAGACAAGCCCCACCACAAGACCCAAATGGTTGGTGAAGAGTTTTAGTAAACTATTATTCTTAATTTTCCTCCGGTTCCTCACTACTGAGTTTCATTTTCTAGTTTGGCATCAAAGATTGAATTATGATAAGGTTTAATTGAGCATTACTTTACAAGTAGGAATTTGTAGTACAGTTCCAGCAATTGTTTATGATGAAAGCTATGAGATACGTTGTCAATTCTCGTGCTTCCTTGAACTGTGTGTATTGGACCTTTTACCATTTGATTGTGGTCTTGATCTGCCTGGGTGTTCGGCAGAATCATGAATGATCTTTTCTTTTATGCATCCACAAGATTGGCGGAATTTGCGATATTGTTTCTTCTCATTCTTAAGTTATTTGAGTGATGATGAAGTGATACTTTTGGCTTTCTTCAGAAGATATTAAAGATGCAAGGTTTGTACAAGCTGATTGAGCTGCCATACGCACCTGCTATTTGATATACCAGAGAAGTTAAGATAAATTTCATGTTTATTTCAGTGGCCATTGCTACTTTTCTTCCTGAGGAGGGAAGAACAAAATCTACTCTTTTTCTTTTTCATATTTAGAAAAGATGGTTCCTTTTCTCTTTGTTTACCAGATTCTTTTCCATGAAACCATTCACTTTCCGTTCATAAAATCGAGATCTCCAGGCTTATTTTCACCAGCTTCAGTTGTCTAAATTCTTCACCCTTTGCAATCCAGTTCAAAGAACACGTCTTTTTGTTGTGTCTTAAAAGAAAATAATACAGAATTCCAGATACACCATTGCTTATGTGTCCAACCCTGATTGGCTACTGAACTTTCCAAAGTGATATTTTCATTGATACATGCCCCTCTGCTCCTCCCCAATCCCAACAATGGACTTTGCTGCGGGCACAACAGCAATCTTCGCCAAAGTAAAACATACCAAACTACCTGCCTTAACCTCAACTTGGTCTCAAATTCAACCAGAGTTGCTCTATCTTTGTCCTTCTAATAGCTTTATTAAGATCTCAACGATCAGAAATGGCCGCCTTAGAAGCAAAAGGAGGAGTCTTTATCTCGTTCGTTGCTCCACAAAGCCAGATACTGATCGAGCAGAAAGTCTGACGGATGAGAATTCACATAGTAATGCCAGTTTAAACTCTGGAATGCAAGAACAAGAAGCATCCGCTGCAAATAATAAAGGTAGTGCTTCAAATTCATCATTTTCAAAGGGTTTGGTTTTTGGGTTGGGATTGCAGGGTTCTTGGGACAATGCTGAAATTGGGTCTCCTGTGGTGAAAAGGTACCTCGGTGATGAGGAAGAGAGGTGGTACATGTGGTACCATGGAAGTTCTAAAGGGAACCCTTCAATGGATTCAATTGGGTTGGCAGTTTCCAGCAATGGAATTCATTGGGAAAGAGGTGAGGCTACAGTAAAATCAAGCAATGATGTGGGTTTGACTCTCAATTGCAGTGATGATTGGTGGGCTTTTGATACACAGGGCATTAGGCCTTGTGAGGTCGTGATTATGTCAAGTACTAAAGTTAGAGCAAATAATGCTTTGTATTGGCTCTATTACACTGGTTATAATGCTGAAAAGGTTGATTCTTTGGATAGTTCTCTGCAATTCAATATCAGCAACCCAGAAATTTTGAATTCTGGTGCTAATAGTGGAGCAGAAGGTGACATCGTTAGCAGGATTAGTAAGTCATTGCCAGGTCTGGCAATGAGTCAAGACGGAAGGCATTGGGCGAGAATCGAAGGAGAGCATCACAGTGGAGCCTTATTTGATGTTGGATCAAAAGGTGAATGGGATTCCACATTCATTGCCTCTCCACAAGTTGTTTATCATAGGGCTGGTGATGTGAGGATGTATTACCATTCATTTGATGTTGAAAATGGTCACTTTGCCGTGGGAATGGCGAGGTCAAGAGATGGCATAAAGTGGGTGAAGTTGGGTAAGATCATAGGGGGTGGATCAAAAGGCATGTTTGATGAACTCGGAGTGATCAATGCTTACATTGTTAAGAACAAAAAAGATGGGAAATATGTAATGGCTTATGAAGGTGTAGCAGGTAATGGCAGAAGAAGTATCGGTATGGCGGTTTCTGATGACGGATTGAAGCGGTGGAGGAAGCTTCAGGATTGGCCTGTGCTAATGCCATCTGAAGAAGCCGGATCTTGGGATGCTGAAGGTGTAGGATCACCTTGTTTAGTTCAAATCGAGGGGGATGGGGCCGTGGACGAATGGAGACTGTATTACAGAGGATTTGACAGAGAGGGAAAGACAGGTATTGGATTAGCAGTTTCTCATGGATGTGAATTTTGTCTGTTTCAAAGATGGAAAGGGTTCCATTTGTGAGGCTTAAAATTAATGTCTTGTGTATCAAAATCAATTGGTGTTTTATTTCTTTTTCCTTGTTCTTTGAAATGAATTGACAAAATAGATGCGGAACTATATAATATATATGTTGTTGAACTAGAACCCCTTTTACCTTCAGAATAAGTTGATTTTGTGTTGGATCAAAACCAAACAGTGATATTGTACTTTATTTACATCCATCAATAGCATTAAGAAATCCCCTGAATGTTTTGTAAGAGGCAACATTCTGCATATGATCTAGATGGGGCTGTATTATGATGATCACCATCCGAATCCGATGACTTCATACTTCCATTTGGGTAATTTGATATTCTGATTTTGCCATTCTACTATATCATCGTCATAGAGCTGGGTACACCCGGTGCTTCCTAGATGGTAAGCACTAACTAAATCACCACTCACAGGAGCTCTATATGCAGCCCGGCAAATCAGTTCTTTGGCAAAGTCCGCAGCTTCAGTTATGGACATTTGGTGAAAGCGCTCGGGCGCACAAAATACCATAAACACCGTCGGAACCAGATCCAGTGGCGAATAATTCATTTACACGCACTTCCCCTTTACCGTTCATGCGATACAGGCCACACTTCGTTTCGTGCCACACTGCTATCAGTATTCCTATTGACAAACTGTTTTCATTGTAAGAACTGAAGAGACAGCCTCGGCCAGCCACTTCAATGCTTCATCAACATAAGCTCTTCTTCCCTCGATACTTTCGTGTTTGTGGCACTTTTGACTTTTCCCCCAGATCTTTGAGTAAAAATTCGCTCCCTCCAGATATAGTAGCAACCATGTGAGAATTGAGTACAACAACGTTTGGGGCAGACTTTGATGATTTGTTTGAATGATCAGCAGCTATCATAACACCTTGTTCGAAAATAAAACCCAATGTGGTGGTACCTAGTGACGGACCCAGCCTTCCAAGTCCGCAGGGGATAATCTGAATTATTATTCTTGACTATACTAAAGGGAAAAAAAAAATGAATTACATAAATCACTATGTAAGTTTTATTTAAAAACGAATCCTCAAATCACTCTTCCAGTTATAGCCAATGAATTCTTTAGTTAAAAAGAAATTTGCCAAAATGTTTTCCTTAACATGGGCTTTTCTTTTATGATTACTCAAACAATTCTAGTCTGGACCAGTCGATCTCAAGGTTAGATATAAACCCAAGAAATGAATTGTTTAAAGAATCGAGCTTTTAGTTTAAGAAAAATGCCCTAGCCCAAAAATAATCTTCTTCTTCATTGGTATGAATTCCCCACATCTCTTCCTTCTGCAGGGGCGGCTCTCAATTGACGGACCACCGGAAACCTAACCGGAGATACCTACTTGGGGTTTCTCCGGTCAGCCGCAGGGTTGACGGATCCTGCAGGCCCTATGGTAGGTCCGTCCTGGTGGTACCCTCTTTTCGAATTTAGGGTCATAATCCTCAAAAGAGCCATCTTCCCGAAGGATAATTTTGCGATTAGGAAAAGAGCCTTCCCGGAGAAAACTTTTGCGATCACGTAAAGCTGGTCTATTAAGGATGATATCCATTTGTTTTGAACTCAATGAGGGGAGGAGAGGACCTCTATTTATAAAGATTTCTCATTATCCCTAAAACTAATAGGATTACGATTTCCTGCTAGATTCCTTAAAACTTATTTATGGAGATTTCTGATTATCCCAAAAACTAATAGGATTGCCAGAAAGTTCCTAAAACTAAACCAATTTAAGCTTTTAACCGTGATGGATTTGGGCTGACGTCCATGCATGCGGAGTATCAAAATGTTTGTTTGTTTGATGAACTTGGGAGTTATCCATGTTCTTAACGTTGGTAAGAACAATTGTATATATAAAGATAATAAAACATCCCCTCTATCTTACAACTGTAGTATCCACACTTTTCCCATGCACTTGTAATTATATGATTTAAAAAAAATTAGATGTTATACCAGCACGATGTACGGGAAAGAAAAATACAATGTATGGTTCTTTCTTTGCATTTGCTATACTTTGTTTTTAAATAGACTTGATTCATTCATAAGAGAGAATATTTATTACTTTATTCATTCCAAGATAACAGTCTAATGTGCTGTACTTGTTTTAATATGGAGGAAGTATGGCCTCAACCTAGGTATAACCACGGTTCAGGTTGTAACAGGAACCGGTATGTCGGTTCATGAATTGGAACAAAACCATAGAAGGCAGTTTATAAAATCATAATTGGACCGTCAAGTCAAGGGCCAGTTATGGTTCTAGTATTTGAAAAATCGTAAACTGACACTTCACACCGGATGTTTTGAACCGACGGTTCAAACTGTCAAAACCTGTCTATTAACCTCTATTTTTATAAAAATTATTGAAAATTTCTAATTAGAAGTTAGTTTTTTTAATGTAATTTTTAATTTTTTTTATACTTATGTTTTTGTTATTTTTGAACTATTAATAAATGTTATTGAAAATTGCAATGACAATCCATTAAATAATTGTCTATTGAGATTTTACTAAATTTTAAACAGTATCTTATATACTACTTTCTTTTCAAAATATAACTCACTTTCTATTTGGGGTTACACCAAATTATAAATTCATTTTGTTTTTCAATGCATAATTTCATAAAATTCTCTCAAATTGTCATTGTATTTTAATTAGTATTTATAGAATCTTAATACACCATTACTTAAATTAAGTGGTTGACCTAATTAATTTTAGGTAAAAGAGATTTTTTTTCATTTATTAATAACCAACAGTTACTTATTGTGCCACTCAAAATGGACTTATATTTTTCTTAAAAAAGACAATACTTATTTCTAATTATTAAAATCATGGGAAACCCGAACATGACATACTATATTTAATCATTAAAAATTTGGTTAGCGTTGCTACTAAAAGTATTTCTAATTTTATTTTTTTTATGCACTTTTTTTTTCATTAAATCAATTTCTTTAGTTTCATTTTAACATAAAAATTAAATAGTAATAAATTGAATTACAATTTTACAAAAATCTAATTAAAACCGTAAAATATCATATTGAAATCGTCAACAACACGAAGTAAAACCATCAATAAATCGAAACCAAAACCGTCCAAAATCGGACTAGAACCGAAAGTTTATAAATCAAAACCATAACCGTAACAGTAGACTTAGAGGCTGATTAAGATTCATTTATTTATTGAACCGTGAACCGGTGATTTTGAACCATGCTCTTGTTTACATCAACCATCTGAAAAAAGAAATTGATAGGGGTACAACTAAAATGAAAAAGATAACCTATATTATATTTCTATAGCTTGTCAAGTCAAGAAAATAAATCGTTTATATACTTTTTTTTTATTAAGATACATTACGTAATAATTAATTTGTTGCATAACTTTACATAGCAAAAAATGAGTAAGCAAGATCTACTTAGGGAAACACAATATAAATTTATCTTTCGCCTTTGAGGTTTCTTTGGTGTAGTCCAAGCAATCACAGATCTCGCTGACAACATGTGATTTCCTGCTTTTCTTCGTAACTTTGGATCTTCACAACAATAATTCATAGAATAAATAGAGGCAAGAAATCAATTTACAAAAAGAGAAAAAAAAATAATCATCAAATAGGTATGGTCTCAATTATGTAGAAGGAAATTAACACTCGAACCACTATTTTTGTTTCAATGAGAATTTAAAATTGAGGGAGGCTCACACCAAAAGGGAATAAAGGGACAACATATCTTAATGAGTTGCCATCGAGACGATTAAGCATGGATACTACAATTGAAGGAGGAAAAAATAGTTTACTATGTAAACTTGTAAGAAACAATCAGAAATAGGGATTCAAATGGAAGAGAAGTCTATTGACTAACCACCATCATAGTTTTTACACGAACAACCTACCCAAAGTCATTAGAAGACATGAAAAAGAAGTACTTAAGAAAAATAACATTGGCGGCCGGAAATAAAATTCGTATGCAAGTAAAATAGTAAGTAAAGAATAATAATAGAGATTAGACCATCATGGATACCTTCCTTCTACTCTTCTTCAAGAGCGTTTGCAAAGACTTTTGATACTAATTTAGAAGCCGGATGGGAATCATGTAGGGTGGATGATTTGGGGTAAGATTTGACTATATTCAAATTCTTAAATAAGATCGTATTTTTTTAAAATAATCCACAACTGGCCCAATTCTTAAAAACTACTATGGTTAGAATGCAAATTTCAAACTTGGAGATTATTATATGCTTGGATTTGATTAGCTTTGATTAGCTTAGATTTGGTTTATTTTGGTAAGATAAGATTTGTTTTGTTAAAGTAACCAAAAGATAGATCAAATTTGGCTGGAATTTGAAGATTTTATGGTTTGAAATTGAAAAATCATCCAACAAAATCAGGAATGTAGGAATATTCGATTTGGATGAGTTTCGATTCAACTAAAAGACAAAACAAATATCAACTGAGTTTTTTTAACCGAAGATACATTTTTTTCATTTTAATAAATCAAAAAATTGAGAAAATTTTTTGTCTTACGTGTCAAGTGAAAAACTATCCCAATGTCCTCTCTCTGGGTTTTCTATTTTTCAAATTCTTAAATAAGATCGTATTTTTTGAAAATAATCCACCACAACCGGCCCAATTCTTGAAAACTACTATAATTAGATTACAAATTTCAAATTTGCAGATTTTGTTTGATTAGCTTAGATTTGGTTTATTTTGGTAAAATAAGATTTTCTTTGTTAAAATAAGCAAAAGATAGATTAAATTTGACTAGAATTTGAAGATTTTATGGTTTGAAATTGAAAAATTTTCCAACAAAATCAGGAATGTAGGGCGGTTCGATATGGATGATTTTCGATTTAACTAAAAGACATAATAAATATCAATTGAGTTTTTTTTTAGCTGGAGATATAAGTTTTTTCCATTTTATCAAATCAAAAAATTGAGAAAATTTCCAGTCCTATGCGATAAGTAGAAAATTATCTTAGTTTACTCTTTTTGGGTTTTCTATTATTAAAT